GTATTTTTAATTTTAACTATTCTAGTGGGTTTGTACCTGTATCTGATCATGATTTTAAGTTGTATTTTGCTAATGGCTAATGATGTTGAAAATCTTTTCATATGCTCACTTGACATCCTGTATCCTTCTAGAAGTGTCTATTTTTATATCTTTTGCCCATTTTAAAATTAGTTTGGTTTTTTTCTTATTATTGAGTTTTGAGAATTCCTTATTATCCACACAAATAGGATAGGGGATTTGCAAATATTATCTCTCAGTTTGCAATTTATCTTTCTATTCTCTAAATAATGTCTTTCACAGAGCAAAAGTTTTTCATTTTGATGCAGTCCAGCTTAACAGTTTTTTTTTACGGAGTATGCTTTTTTGTGCCATGGCTAAGAACTCGTCACTCAGCCCAAAGCCATGGGTTTTCTTCTGAAAGTTTTATACTTTACATTTAGATCGATGATCCATTTTGTGTTAACTTTTGTATAAATTTACTTTTTTGCCTATGGGTTTCTAATTTCTTTCCAGCACCATTTGTTAAAAAGACTGTCCTTTCTCCACTGAATTGCTTTTGCACTTTTGTCAAAACTCAACTGGCCATATTGGTATGGGTCTATTTCTAGATCTCCGCCATCGATCTATGTGCTTACCCCTTTGCTAACGCCACTCAGTCTTAATTACTGTGACTTTATAACAAGTATTAATATTGAGTAGTTTGAGCTTTTCAATTTTATTCTTTTTCAGACGAGGCCGGGCACGTTCAGGGTGGTCTGGCCGTAGGCTTATTCTTCTTTTTCATAATTGCTTCAGCCATTCTAGCTCCTTTCCCTCTTCATATAAATTTCAGCTTGTCTATATCTCTAAGGAATCTTGCTAAGATTTTAACTGGTATTGTATGTAATTTATAGAACAATTTAGTGATCGTTAATATTTTTATTGTATTGAAATGTCCAGGCCTTGAATATAGTATATGTCTCTTTGGTTATTTAGATCCTTGATTTCTTTCATCAGAGTTCTGTAGGTTTTACATGCAGATCCTATACACTTTTGTTTTTTGAAACTATTGTAATTGTTACTGATTTTTAAATTTCAGGTTTAGTTGGACATTTCTAGTCGTGTTATTTTCCTAGGGCTGCTGTGACAAACTACTGCAAACTTGGTGGCTTGAAACAATTGAAACTTATTCTTTTACAGTTCTGGAGGCCAGAAGTCTATAATCAGTTTTGAGCAAAAATCAAAGTATGGCAGGTCTGTGTTCCCACCACACACAGGGGAGAACCTGTTCTTTGCCTCTTCCAGCTGTTGGTGGCTACCAGCATTCCTTGGCTTGTAGCTACATCGCCCCAGTCTCTACCGCTGTCTTCATATTGCCTCTACTCTGTGTCAAATTTACCTCCACCACTCTTATACAGACGCTCGGGATTGCATTTAGGGCCACCTGGATAATCCATGATAATCCCTCATCTTCATCGTATCTGCAAAAACTTTACCATGTAACATGCACAAGTTCCAGGGATTAGGACCTAATATTTTTGAGGACAGTTTTCAGCCTACTATAGTAGTGTTTAGAAATCAAGGGGTTTTGTGTGTGTGTGCGTGCGTGTGTGTGTGTGTGTGTGTGTGTGAGAGAGAGAGAGAGAGAGAGAGAGAGATATTA